ACAGTTTTCTTTAGGTGAGAAGCTTGAAGGTATACCCTTCCTTAAGGGAGATATCAGTAAGCACAATAAAATTAGGCATTTATATATCTACCTCCCATTCCTTAGCTTTTGTAAGATTAGAAGATGTAAATATAGTGCAGATGTTAATATCTTACACATTGCTGGGCTTCAACACAGGGTTATTTGTAAACTCTGTCTTATGCAAAAGCCTTTCATTCATAAAAAATAATCTGTGAATATTAATGTAAACGTACTCTTGGATACATTTGTTGTATTTAAAGAGAAAGCCAGAAATTATCATTCACTTGGTCATAAACATGAGAAAAATTGGGTTTTTTTAAAAAGCATTTGTCCATAACTTTTATTTTGAACTCTCAGGAAATACAGGGAGGAAAAAAAAGAAAGTAAAAGAAAATGGTTCCGTTTTGAACGGATAATTGAGGGAGAGGTTGGGGAATAACTGCTAATAGCAGGCCATCAGAAGGTCAGTGAGCTTGATGAATTGAATACTTTTGTATTGGAACAAACCATAGAACTTGTATGTAACCTGGTAGGAGCCTTCCTCCATTTGTCCTTGTAAATGGGAGCTGTGTCTTTGGAGGCGTGCCAGAGTGGAACTGCTCATTCATTATTACCACTTAAAGCAAATGATCATAGCCCTATGGCACATAAAATAACGAGTCTAGCTCCCATTTCACAGATACGAGGCATATATTATACTTCACATATGGTCAAATGTGTGCTGGCTTTTGGAAAAGGTACAAAAATTACTACAATGAGTAAAGCTCATAAGGAAATAATTCAGCGAATAGGAAATTTTGTAATTGGAACCATAATTAGTGACTAATGCAGAGAAATACATATGCTTAATGAAATAGGATAGGATTAAAAGACCAAACTAAATTTATTCAGAACCTACCATACATACTCATGTGAATAATTTTAGATGTATTCCCAATCCTATTAGTTTCATCTTTTCACTCTGCTGAAAACTGTTTAAATAGCATATTTCACTTGAATTAGAGCAGGCTTCCCTAAGTAGTAAGAACTCCACCTCATGCTGTTCCTAATAAACCTTACGGAAGTGTTCTGCACTGGGAGACAGAGGAGGGAAGTGTGGGAGAGGTGGTGCAGGGTTCTTTCTGTATCTCTATAACACCTGGCAGCAAATGATGTAATCGACTAGCCGTTTTAATAAGAGAGAATAAAAAAAAAGGGAATACAGATAGCAGGTAAACCTTATGCCCCTTCAGTTGCTGGGACCCCTGTGTGCATGCAGCACTGGATGGACCCAGCATGGATTTTCCCCTGTCGTGCTGCATACATCCCATCCGTGGAGAGGTTCCTCCTCCCTCCCATACCGTGGTGCCTTTTATTTTGTGTAGAAACAAAACCATGTATCTCCCCCTGACAAGCTGGAAGGTTCTCTTTGATAACATCCACCAGTGCACAGCGCAGGCTGGCACGGGGCCTTCCAGCACCTTCCCTTCCCCTACAGCAGCTACTCATAGAATCATAGAGTAGAATCATTTAGGTGGGAAAAGACCTTTAAGATCACCAAGTACAACCATCAACCTAACACTGCCAAGTCCAGCCACTAAACCGTGTCCCGAAGAACCGCATCTATGTGTCTTTTAAATACCTCCAGGGATGGTGACTCCACTGGTTCCCTGAGCAGCCTGTTCCAGTGATTAATAACCCTTTTTGGTGAAGAATTTTTTTCTAATATCCAATCTAAAACTCATGCTTGCAGATGGGCTTCTCAAGCCTGATGAACAAGGGCCAGTAGATCCGACATGCCTTGCCCAAGATCTGTACATCCTTGAGTCCAATGTTTTCTGTGAGGCTCCCAACACAGAAAGTATAATATATATGATAATACATCAAAACACTTTGCTGTGGTGTAATTGACTGTTCTTTTTTTATTATGCATATTTTATCATTTCATCATGCATTATGCTGAAACAACCGAAATGGCTGGCTGTAAAATTGCATTGCCATTTTCTATTCAAGATTTCTTGAAGGTCACTTCTATAATTGTCATGGAATTAGTAATTATTTAGATTTGAATGAATGGTTATGAATACTTGTATGTTGCTAAATATTCTGTACCTAGTAATTTTCATATTAAGCATTCTTTTGTGTGTTCTTTTAATTAGTGAAACCTGTGGTTCATTAGACAGATTTTATAGATATTTTTATTTTATGTCGTCTTGTGGGTTTTTGTAATATAGATACAGAAAGGTATATGCGATGCTGGAAATCCCAGGATTCTGGTAATTATTGATCCACAGGAGATGGTTTCATCTGATTAGAAGGGTAGCAGAATGGAGAAGGGAAACTATATGGAAATAGCTTATCTTTTCATACATATTTTTAAGATTTTTTTTTAAAAAAAGTCCTGTTTTGATTCAGGAGCAAACTAAGTTTCCTTTAGACCCTGGGTCACATCACCACAGGTGAGTACTGTGGCCAGCAAGAGTTCACAGCGGAATTTGTTTAGTCTGTGCTGATGGAAAGTTGTGCAGCTTATTGTTGCTGGTGGTCGGACATTGCTCTTCCATATCGTACATAAATTAGTGCTATTATCGGAGAGCAGCAGGGTAAGTTTCTTGCCTTCTTCCCCAGACTCTGAATACACAGTTATTTATATAATATATATTTTTGTGTTCTAGTATAATACTCAAGCATATATTAAACACTGCCTATATTTAATATTCTACTTTGCCTTTGATATAATTGAGAAGAAAGAAAAAATTCCTCTTACAATAATCACTGTCATGTTATTGTAATTTCTTACATGATATACTATCTCATTTATGTTACCATCTTACAAGGAAAAAAAAGAAAATTCTTTTAAACTCTTCCTTCAAAACCAGTCCTTTTCCCTTAGCTCTTTCGTAAAAATTGCCAACCTAAAGACACTTTCAGACACGTGACTCTATTTTTACGAGGCTAATCTGTTTAAGTAGTGATCTGCTCTTTCAAGAATTTAGTGTTTTGTGATGTTTAGAAAAAAAGCACGTCAGGCAGACTGGTATTATTACTTGAGATTATTTTCTCCTTTCCTTTATAAGTACATGCAAGAGAGATACTTCAGCATCAATCCATCTTCTAAATTCTGTGGAAAGAACTGTAGGCCCAGAGTGTCTGTATGGACAAGGCCACAAATTGTGTGCTGCAGTTAGAGTCGAAGCATATCACATTTTGGTTTCTTGGAGTTTAAGGGAATGTTTTTTCTATATTAAAAAATGTTGAATTTCTGTATAGTTAACCCTGCAAAGAATTCTCACACTGACTTGGGACTGGGACTGAGCAAGGGCAGTCCAGAACATCTTTTTTCTGGGTGGTTGTTGTTGTTGTTGGTTTTAGTTTTTTTTTTTCCTTTTTAGTCCTACTGTTGATTATTTTCTTTATGATATTGTAACAAAGGGTCAAGGCGATTCGCTGCCTATTTTTCAATAAAAATGAGCACGTTAAGAGTCACCAGTTGGAAAATATTGAAGAGATCAACAGAAATACAAACACTGTTCTACAGTCTGCCACTTGTTCAATGATGTGACGTGCAAGTTAGAAAGTTTTTTAATATTACTCACAAATAACACAAATCTCCTTGTGATTTAAGTTTCTTAGAAAAAAGTAATGAAAAGGTAGTTCAAGCCATTGCATGATCCAGATTTCCTCTGGGAAAATATTTATATGGAATTTAATAGGCACCGATAAGCTTTCTCTTTGTTTTATGAATCATTATGTCTATTCAATAGAAAATTATAATCTTGTTGGAGACTTCTGTGGAATAGCCAAGAAAACCAAATGCAGGATAATAATTTTCTATTAAGGTACTTGGCATTTTTAGAGAAATATTATATAACTCAATTTGATCACTGTGAAATTCTGCAGGATATTTCATATCTGCAAATAACCCTTATCAATAAGTTATCAATAAGAAAGATATTTCTCCAGCTCTTATCATGTACACGTCTTGTCAGCAGCATCAGTACGTTGTATTCAGTCTGAATTTCGCCTACTACACTAGGCGGTCAATGAAGAGAAGCGATTGCCTCTGAATTTCAAAGAGGCTGAGTAGAGGAGACACTTCTGTCCTTATACTGCTATATATATCGCTACAATTTCTGGCCCCGTAGCCAGTTGCCATGGTCTAGTTGCAGCTACATAGCTTAGGACCACCCTCTCTAGAGCAGACGGCATAGCTTTGGATCCCCTCTAGGTCCTCTGTGGTGCTGTGAAAATGTAATCATTATTTTATGCTTGGGAATATTTGGGGGGGTTGGGGGTTTTTTTGGTCATGTTGGTTTGGTTTTCTGTTCGTTTGGTTTTGTTTGTTTGGTTGGTTTCATTGAAAGAGTTGGAAATATGAAGGATGTATTGCACCCTACCAGAGTGGTGGCTGTGTGCCTGGAAATGGAGAGTGTATGTTCCATCGCTGAAGGGATGGCTTGAAGAGGTGTGGAAGGTGTCTGAGGGTGCAAAGCCTGCTCTCGTAGCTTTTCAGGACTGTGTATGTTAGAGGGAGAGATATTTGGGAACATTTTCTGCAGTCAGTGATCCCCCTGATGGATGCTCAGCTGCTGTCTTGGAGAGGGCCAGATCAAAACCAGCCGAGAGAGTAAGCTATCACTGATGCAGCAAGCATAACTAGAAATCCAGCGTTCGGCCTCCCTGCCTGCCTCTCCTTTGTTCCTTAGTGGAGACATACCACCCGCTGTAAGTCCTACACCAGGCACCGACGTTAAGCACATGACTGAAGTGCCTTGTTCAAGACCCTAGTCACTCTGGGTTTTGTTTATAAGAAGAGAGGTGCCTCTGAAAAGTAGCACGTCCTAATTAAGAATTATATCAAATACTTAATATTTTAATGTATTTGTGCTACTAGTAATGAAGTTCATGCTATTTGAAATAAATATTCTAGCTGCGTTTATATTAAAACTATCTTGTGTTTAATGGGAATGTTTGGTTTTGTCTCTTTTTTCCCCCTGCAGCTGTGACTCTGAAAATAGGTATCTTGGAAATCCACTTAGGGGAACATGCTACTGTGAGTACTCACATTTTTAATGTTCAGTACTTAAATGCTGTTTACATATTATGCAATAATTTCATTTCCTTGGAAAAATGGAATATATTTCTTAAGATTTGCTGAAGTTAGGGCACGTTGATATTTTGATTGAAAAATAAAATGCCACACTGGGCTTCTCTGTTACTTTGTCCACGACAATGTAAATTAAAGAGTACTAAAAGTTGATTCTTTACTCCTAGATTGGAGGGAATGACCAAGCCAGTGATTGGGTTATTCTCTGTATCTCAACATATGTGAATGAAAGGAATAAGTAATTGTGTCATTGTTTAAAAGACACAATTTGTGATGGGGAAATGCAAATAGGCTGAACAGCAGTACTTCCTGGGGACATTCTGAATGGTTTAGCCAGTCTGTCTCCCAGGGACATGATACACAGCTGCTCTCCAGAATATCATAAAACGGTACTGCGTGTTGTCTCCATGTTCTTATTGTTGTACAAAAGGTACCTCTGGCAAATTTACTTTAAAGCATTACATGTTTGATAGTCATAGTGAAAGACCTGAAGGGATGAGAATGCTTATTACCCATGTGCAGAAATCCCTTAGAGAGCTGTGCCTATTTTGCTGTGCCAAGGTGGACGTTAAATAGTAATTATAATCGTCATAAAACCGTATGTGATGTTAGAGAACATGGTTTTAACTTTTGTGACTTTTGCACATACCTGCTCCATGTCAGACAATTGGATCCATTTGTCTGTTGTTTCCTAACGTCATCCCTACCTCACTCTGACATTTCCATAAAGTCATATCTCTGAATATATTTATAGCATCCATTCTGATCTCTGGCCTTGGTTTTTAGCATTTTATTTTAGAATGTACACAAAAGCTTTGTTTTAGAATCTCTTTAAGGCACTTAAAGAGGCACTTATTACTTACCTAATAAATGAATGCTGCTTCTCTTTACTAATGTTTCTTTTCTACCTTAACTGGTTTGCATCTGCAAGGTATGTTTTACAGAACAAAATTGACACATACTATCTTACAGATGCTGACATATCCCTAGGCCTAAAACATTTATTCCTCTTGCCAGGTACTAAAGAAATTTGATGTGGGTTGGGTTTTTGTTGTTGAGGGTTTTTTTTTTTTCTTTTTTCCTCCTTACAGACAAGTTAAGTTCAAATGTAATACTTTAAACTGGAAGATAATTTTAAAATATTGTATTTTGAAGATACTGTTAACATTGTTGACATTTTACATAAAACAGACCCATTTGAAAACATACTTTAAAACTGTGCTCTAAAGATATGATACGTGACATATTTCTTATCTCACATAAGAATTATTTTTAATTTCAAACCAGAATTTTCAGTATTTAGAAGCATGTATTTTTGTATTTGTGAATTTTATAAATTTTGTAGATTTAGAGCTAGATAATGAGTACGTGAGAAGTTCTTACAATGAAGAGTGCGCTATATGGTCTATTTTGGATATGTGCATCAACATTAGTTTTGTCCTTTAAAAATAAACGTTATTAAATTTGAGAGATGGAAAAGAAATGACAGTAATGAGATTTATAGACCTCAGGCACCTCCATGAAAAACATTACTTTTTTTGCTATCGTGTTGCAGGTTGGGTCTATAAATCATGTTGGAGACAAATTGTACTATATCAGGATACCCTTTCACCTTTCACTCACTACTATTATTTGTCTTCTGTCAAATTTCAAAATATTTTAAAGATCTCGTTGTTCTGGAATGATAAATCTTCTTTTAATACTTTCAGTCATTTAAAATATTGTATATAAACGATTTTCTGAGTTATGTTATCTGGAGCCTGTGCTAATTTCAAATAATGGAATTGCATATTTCTTACATTTAGTGGCTGATGCATCATAATGGGAAATAATTTGTTAATTTGTGGATAACCGACTGACCAAGATTTCAATGACAATTGCTTACCAGCACTGTTCATTACCTGGTAAATCATGTATTAAAATATGTATATGTCATAGAGATGCTCCAATTTCTTACCTATATAAGTATTTAAAAATGTGGCGTTACCATGGACTACAATTTGTATAAGAAAATGTTTCACTTTTGTACAAGACAGGCATTTGGATGTATTTTTTCTGTGCTTATTTCACTAATCTGTAAGAAACTTATCTTTAGACTATCTTTAGTCTAAACTATCTTTAGACACTTATATTGCTGTTTTGCTTCTCCTTGAAGAATATTCTTACTTTTTACAGTACAGGAATAGTTATTGCTCAGGAGAGAGGAAAATACTGAGGAAAAACAAATTGTATATACTTATGAGCAGCATAAGTTTATGAGAAATAAAAATTCTAGGCATATTTGTTTCTACCACTTAGAATCAAAATCAGTGAATGGTAGCAAAATAGGAATATAACTATTAATTTGCTGTATGGTTGAGATCTTCTTCAGGAAGGCTTTTAGTCATATGCTTGAGTTTAGCTATCTTCAAAATGACCAGTTTTAAGTGTTCAAATTTCATCTTTTTTTTTTTTTCACTTGTGAGAATACTATCCTAAATTTGAATGCTTTTCTAAGCCAAAACCTTAGAATTCAGTCCTGAGTGTATAGCTAACTTTTGTATGCTATTGGATGACCTCAATTTCTCTTTAACAGCAGGATGTGGATAGAGAACGCTTACTGCCTTAGAGAACTTTCTGCAACTTGTAATATTGTGAATACCCACTGTCCTATAAAACTTTAGCTGTTCTCATCTCTTTCTGCTCTCTGCCCAGTTTACCTAGTTCTTGCCTAGTCCTCTCCTCCCTCTAGCCTGCCATTGCCACCCTCAAGTCTAGGAAGGGGGAAGAGACTTGTGCTGATTTAGGTACTGGTATTAAGATCAAAAGATGGTTAAGATAGTAAGTAAACAAAACTTAGAGTAAGCCAGTGGGATAGCACAGATTGTTTTAGTTCCTTCCTTATTTGTTTCCTTTGGTAGTGATATAGGAGAGTAAGCAGAATGTTAATGCTCTATGTGGATCGTGTTGTGATTGGAGAAGTGATCTGAGCACAAATGAAAGCACAGGGAAATTACAGATAGGTCTAGCATTATCAATGAGAATGAGATTCATATAGGAAGTAGCATGCTGAAACATTGCAGGGACTTAATCTAAATACAGATACTATGCCAAAAGGATAAACACAGATAGCAGCAAAACCATCAAATCTTAGAGATAACCAGAGCAGTTCAATAAACATCAGAATTTGTTCTAATAATGCATTTCAAAACATTGCAGCACTGGACATAAGTAGTATTTCTACTTTAAATTATCAAAACTTAATAAAAGTAGAGTAGGAAAAGCATAATAGACAGGGCATGCAATAGTGCATTATCCAGACTGTGAAAATCGTTGCCTATTGCTTCTATTAAATTTATTTTCATTTCATTCTTCATGACTTCACTGCATGATTGAAAAAGCACAACAGAGAGAACAAACTTCTCTGAGAGTGAGAGAACGAGAACAAGACTCACAGATATAAAAATTAGAAAAATATTGAATGTATAAGAACGCATTAGCAGCTGCATCTATCTATTCTCGTACCTTGTTGTCAGTAGTGGCTGATTATGAATTCCGAGTGAAGAGTATAGCGAATAGACAGACATACAGTGATATTTATTTCTATACATCCAACAATTTACAGCTCAGGAACTTTGTGAGAGGAAGGATTTCTTGAGTCAAAAGTGTTCAATGTGCCATTGTTTAGGAATATCAGAGGAAATCTTATCAAATATTTCTTCTACATAATAAAAAGAATATAAATACAAAAGAAGGCTTCATTAATTTAAAAGCCACGATTTTGTTTGTCCATGTATATATTCTTGTCAGTTGAGTACAAGTCTGCTTCTGGATTGTGGCTCTATCCCTGGTGGGGAGGCTCTGTATCCCTAGGCCTTTCTGTTAGAAGCCAATCTTTCTGTGCACGATCGGAAGCTGATTCAATCCACAGAAATGAGTTCTGAGTGGAGGCCAGAGATGGTTGTGCAGCTGACTTATGCACGTACACAAACCATAAATGTAACATTTTGTCATGATGCATTTGTATTTGATGTTGTTATAGTTCTTTGGTATCTCAGCCAGCGTGATGTATAACAGTGACGCCTAGATAGCAAAGCGTGCATCCAAATTGCTACATTAGTTCTTCACGCGTCAGCGTTGGAAATGCATTGCTGTCGGAATCAGTGCACCTTGGTGCAAAGAACCATGCAGTCAAACCAGATGGTTTTAGGCTGGTTGGGAAGAATCACTGGGACAAATGCCACTTCTGTGATTTTGACCTGGGTTATATAAAGACGCAAAGCTTTAAATCATAAATGGATAGATAGTTAAGTCAGTGTTCTAGAGAAAATGAGTGTTTAAATTTACAATTCATGATTTGTTACTATACAGAGGGTGAATTATAGGCTTGCTAACAATCATTTGTTTTGAAAGGATGTGATACTCTCCTTCATAAACCTCTTTTAGTTATCCATATTTCTAAGGTTAAAAACTTTCCAAAATGTCTGTTTTATGTACATTGAGTGTCATAGTTCCAATGCTACATTTCAAACAAGAAGTACAACTGATAGATTCTGATATTGCTACATGCGGAAGCATAAAAGCTTACAACAAATAAGTACTGTGAGTGTAAACCATATTGTTTGCCTGCATAGTTGTTAGAATTTCCAGATGAGTTGAGCACTCAAGTTGCCTATTCCGCCAAGAGAATTCCTAGCTAAGACCACTCTAGTAGCCAGCTAAGAAAATGTAGTTGAAAAAATGTGCATAGATTTACATACTTTAGTTTCTTATTCCCTTTTACTCCTTAAAAAAAAAAAAAGGTTTAGAAACATTTTTTATTATTTCTGGGTACATCAGCAACGAAGAGAGGAGAACAAGTAGCTTCTCCATTTGGTTCTGCAGATTGGTTACTCTTTTACAATTGGTTACTCTTTTACAACCCACAGTAGTGGGTTACAGGGCAGCACACTTTAAAGTATGAAACT